TTCTGCATAGTAAAGAATTCTTGTTATATTATCTGTTGTTGATATGATTTCAATTTGCCCATAAACCTTCTAAAACTTGGTTAATGAATTCTAAAGGATTTATGATTATTTTTTAAATTAAATTGGAAGCAGGAATGGCATCCACTTCCTAAACAAGGTGCCTCTGGCAACTCTGATCTTTGAGAAACAATGATAGTTATAGAAAGGCTTCAAGTCTTTTGTTCATAGGGTCTCTATGAGTTGTGCTCGACACAATGGCAATCAACAACAACAAGAAGTTTCCCTTATGCATAGATTTTTTTTCTTTATGCACAACTAGATGTGAGGCTTACTAATGACATCAATGATAGTCTTCTTAGAAAATAACTAGGTCTGATGATAAATTCTAGGGAAAATAGAAATCTTAAGTATCACATTTTAAAATTTAAGCGTGTAATAGTAAATATTTAATTTTAATTTTTATTTAAAGAACATATTTTTATATCCTTGACCTTTGATCTTCTTGCTAAAAGAAAAATCTATAGTTCTTTAGGAAAAGAGTATGTAGATTTAATTTCCTCCTCATTTAATGATGCTAATCAGTGATTATTTGAATATTTCCAGTGTGCGAAGATTTGTTCTAAATGTTTTACGTATACTATTTATTTATTTTATAACTATTATTATACTCATTTCTAAATATAGACTTAAAATACTTTAGGAGCTTTCCAAACTCATCAAACAAGTAGGTCAGAATGTGAAAGCAGTCTGGCTGACTCCAGAACTCCAAGTTGTAATAAACTATATACTGCTTTCCCATTTATGATTTCTCAATATTTATTTCATTATTTTGTTTAAGTTTTATAAAGCTATACTCCTGTAATAAAAGTATATTGGAATGAGTTAAATAATGCTTTGTTTTAATTTGTCCAGACACATTTAAGAATTAATATATTTAGCTTCTATATTCAACATATGACATTCCAGAATGTTTGCTTCTTTACCATCTTTCAATAAGACTGAACAATTCCAATTACTTTGTTAAATCACCTAAGAAAACTTTTTAACTCCTTACAAGGAGTTATCTGATTATAGTATCTGATGAAAGCTAAGTATCTATTTCATTTATACAAAATTTTATGTATAATTAAAAAGACCTTATTAATTTGTTAGATCATCATTATAGTTTCCTCATAGAATAATACACTAAAAAAGTTTTCAAGTTTTTCCAAGTAAGCCTTTACAATCCTCCTCCATTCCGTCTCTGGCAGAAGCAAAGTTCATTTGTCCTAAAGTTCTGTCCTGTTCCCTGTCTCAGGACTGGATCTGTTCTCTTAACTACCTTGTAGCCTTAGAAGCTATTGCAACTTACCGAGCACCTACCAAGCCGTCAGTCAGGATTCCCAATGCCATTGAAGCATTCAGTCAGTACATTTTCTGTCAGACCAATAGGCTTCTTCATATCTGACAAGAAAGCTGGTTTCTGTGTTCCACATGGACAAGCCCTCAGATATTTATAAAGTTAAACTGTAATGAGTCTGTTATCTCAGTTATTCCACAGCTTCCTGGGTACCAAGGGAACAGTTCATACAGAGTTTTCATGAGATAGTTTACGTTTGATTTAAATCACACTTGAGAATTAAAATCCCTGAATCATCCTGCAGCTAATGATGACTCAAGCTATGATATGTTGGTGTGTGTTCTCAGATGACTCCCGCACCCAGACCCTTTGGTTCCATGCCAGGACACAGCCTTCCTGCCTTTGCCAGGACATCGGCAGCAGATGGTACTGAAGTTGTGACTGGGATGCGAGCCCAGTTCTATGTAATAGGGGCTAGGTAAGGTTCTCTGAGTGGCTTGTATATATGAGATATTTTTGCTTGTAAGGAAAGATGGTCTGGACTACCTTATTTAGCAAAACATATAATAGAAAAACATAGTCTTATTTCTCTTACACAAAGTATTTCTCATTGAGTCAAATTAAGGAATAAAATTGCAATTAAAACCAAGTCAAAACCTAAACGTTTTAGTGATTCCACAGATCTTTTCTCTCTTCCTTCCTCTTTTTCCTCTAGAATAACACTTGGGTAATCACTACAGCTGGATCTTTCCCCTTCTTTATAATCATGAGTTAAAACAGGAGTTTAAAAGGATTAAAACCCCAGTCCTCACCCCCGGGGTCATTAATTGAAGCAATTAAGTATAATTCTTAAAGTACTACTGCAAAGAACATAACAACCTTAGCATTCAAGGCAAGACAAAAGGGGGAAGGAGCCATCTCAAATAGGAAAGTGCATTTTAGATCTCAGCACTTCTCCAAGTTCATTCATTCACATTAGGAAACTGTAAGAGAAGTGTGTTAATGTCAGACGTGAAGGGAAAATGACAGTGTCCATTCCTTGTCAACTTTCTCATATAAAATACGTTATAACAGGTAAATTTATGATTTTCCTTTATGGTTAGAAAATGTAATTCCTAGGCAACAGTAAGTGTAGAAATTTGAGTTTTATTTCCTAATCAAAGAAGTTCATGCTTTTGAAAACATGTTTTCAAATGTAAAAAACATACTCTAAGAATTGCTCTTTTCTGTGGAATCATCAACAGTAATGTACATATTTTACGAATTGAAGATCAAAAAGAAAGCATATCAGACCTTCTAAAGGATGAGTTTGCAGAAAGCAAACAGCCTTATGCGTATTGGCCTGAGTGATTAAATGCAGAGAACAGACAAGGGGAGAAACTGAGGCCATGGGTCTCACAGAGCTAAGGAAAACTGACACTGGCACTATTGAGCCAGAATATATAGTACAACTAATTGTTCAGCAAAATTGGAAAGAGAAGTTCTAAGTTCACAAGTATTGGTCTCCAGTGAAACGCTAGAGGGGAGGGTAGTGTCTTCAAAGATCCACTGGGTCATGAGATTTAATTATAGTTTTTAGGAAGAACTTGTATTAAAGGAACTAAATATGTAATTCATCCATTCACATGTATACACTTTGAGAAAGATTCTCAAAGTGCCAAGGACCTGACCAAAAACTCTGAAACTTTATTCTACCACAACCAGGAACTCACGTGCACTTGACAATTCTTTCATGAAGCTGTGGAGAGTGGGCTCATTGGTTGTGGCTTAATCAGAAGTGTAGATTTCCCTTGCTGGGGTATTCCCATACTAATAGAGTGTTGTTAGTTGTCATGGGTGGACTATTGATAGAGAGCCTATGAACAAGAGAACCTTGCTCTGTTCAACACTGTCATCTTCTAAAGTTCTATGAATAACAAGAACATTTTGCAAGACACTGACACAGTGACTCCAACAACCGGCTTGAGCATGGTGGAGTTTGTGATCATAATAGAGTGTTACTGTGGTTGTTGTGCACCATAGATCAGAACCAACCCATAGCTTACCCTCTGGCGGGTTTTCAGAGGCGGTTAAATGGATGGGAGGAGACTGCCCATCCTTCCCCTTGGAGCAGATGGTGGCCTCGAACTACATGCCTTCGGGATTGCAGCGCAGCTTCTTGTCACTAACTACCAGAATGTAGATGCAGTTAAATTGCTAGGAATAGCCACTTACAAGTCTCTGTGCCAAAAGGTACCTTGGTTCCACAATTGTTAAAGTGCTTGGATAAGAGCAGAAGGTAGGCACTGTGGATCCAACAACCACTCCATGGGAGAAAAGACCAGGAGATCTGCAGTTATAAAGAACCAAAACTAAAAAATAAAATTAAAAATCAAACCCACTGCATGGAGAAAAGACCAGGAGATCTGCTGTTGTAAATAATAATAAAAAAAAAAATCAAACTTTCTGCTGTCAAGTCGGTCCCATTCATAAAGATTACCCTTCTGGTTTTTAAGACTGTAAATCTTTGTAGGAGGAGACTGCATAGGGAACTGTACGAAGCAGTTCGGCTGTTTCATAGGCTAGTTATGGGTCAGAATCAACTTGGTGATAAGCAACCACATTACCAAAGTTTGAACAGGATGGAAGGAATGTTGGTGTCAGCATTTGAGTGAGAAAGCTTAATCTGCAGAGTAAAGGGAGGCAGGCATGTCTACTCCTGTCCTAACTTTTATTGTGAGCCTTATGCTGTCACTTCCCACCAGCACCTTAGCTGTCTGCTCTGAGGAAGGTCTCTGCTCTTTATGATATGATAAGTAGGACATTTTGGTTGAGATAACATTGTGAATCTTGCAGTTCAAATGTCTGACTGATTGCACCTGTACTTTTCAAATTATTCTGGGATTTATTTGAATGATACACATATATTATGTGCACTAAAAGAAAATTATTTTCCAAGAAAATGAATCCTTTTTTCCATTTTGTTTATTACTGAATAAGCTCAAAATATACAAGGTATGCTACATGCTATAAGAAATAAAGATCTTAATTGTTTTATCTCATTTATGGTTTTTTCCTGTTTTAACAAGAATAAATTTATTCTCTTACAGAAAAAAAAAGAAATAAAGATCTTTTCCTTTCCTCTACCTGTAGCCCTCTCCGACTGTAACAGGAAAAGGATTGGCAAAAAGAAAATTCTTTTTGCAGAAACATATGCAATCATTAAACAATTTTTCTGATATGAAAGGTAACTCTTATTTGATACAGAACATTTTTATTTTATGCATTTGATAAACAATATTTTAAAAAATTTTCTTCAGAATTCCTTAATGCATGTGACAGGGATTTAGTGTCTGTATGGCCATGGTTACATGCTTCAAATTAGGGCAAAGCTAGGACTGGTTTCTTTTGAGATTGCAGGAAAAAAAGCTGATCCAGGAATGAGAGGTGGAAGATGGAGGTAACTGAAAAACAAAAAGCCATAGTTGGGATGGATACCTATAGATGAAGACACAATAGTACTGGTTCTTTCACATACATGTTAATAAAAAAATGAATCATCTTTTGAGCAAAATTCCCACAAGTTCAGAGCTAGAGTGTGCAGAGCTGTACAAGAGATGGATGCTGGTCCAGTCAGCAAGCAGTAGCAGAGAGGTGGCCATCACAGGTGTGCTGGGACTCAATGGAGGAGCCCAAGCTGGCAGGTTATGTCCAACTCAGACACCGTGACTGCATAGCTCAGAAGGTAACCAATAAAAATTGATTGAATATAGTACATTCTGTCCAGGAGACAGTGATTCCTGGTGGATGGAACAGGTAAGAAATGAATTTGAATGAGGGTGCTTATCAACATGATGGTTGTTCTCTGTAAGATAAGAGTGTGCATTATCTTGAGGGAATAATAACCTCCCACACAGACCTTCCATAAAAGTTGTATGGGGCAAGGGGAATGCCAATCAAATTTGGTTGTCAGAATCGTCTTCCATTTCCATGCAAGGATTATGATGCTCACAGCTAAGCAAAACATAGAGAGGGACCCTTGATCTTCATTTCCTGGGAACATGAGGAACACGGGCTTAGGTCTTGTACATACAATTTGTCCAGTCATTTTGTTCTTTGCCTTTTTTCTCTTCTAGTAAAAAAAAAAAAACCAAAAAAAAACCATTAACACAATTTATAATCAGAGGAATTGAGATTAGATGTTAAAAAATAAATTTCCATTAGAATATTTTTGGTGTTAGTTCTGCAAATATAACTTCAATATTCAGTGTTCCAAAATGATACTGAAAAGAATAATAATAATAATTAATAATAATAATAATAACCCAAAAAAGGAAAAGCACTTGTTTCTGTGAATCTTCTACCCCCAAGGCACTCTGAGTTCTCTTTTCTTTCAGCTAGGCTTTTAACTGCTTTCAACTGTAGTTACGCATTTTGATGTTCCAATTTTAACAGTCATTTTTGAAGAATAAAAATATGTTGGTAAAAGATAGCCAATAAAAGTGTGTGAGGGAATTATTATTATGCATCATGTATTGTTTTTATTGCTTAATTATATATTGAAATGAGATACAGGCATTTTTTAATATCTTAATATTACTTAAAGAATGATGACGAGGAGAATGAAGGGATAAAAAGATGAAAGAAGCTGGCATTTGACTGCCACTCACAGGTGTCTTCCTCCCAAAGACAAAGAACTAAAAAAACTCTGATCTTGACAATGACATTTTTCCTTTCCTATCCTTGGAGAGGGACGTCATGCTTAGGAGGGTGGAGGGACCATGCAGGAGAGGAAGACCCTCGAAGAAGTGGATTGATTGAGTGACTGGGATAATGGGAGTAGGTTTGTCAGAGACAATAAGATTGGCATAGATTGGATAGAGCAGGGTTTAAGGCTGTTGTACATAGGGTGGCTATGAGTCGCAGGTGACTCAGCACATACAACAACAACAAAAACAACAACATTCTTTTAAACAACTGTTCCTACCTAATCAATCATTTGTGTACTTAAAATTACAGCATTAACTTGTCTAAGCTACTATTTGCATGCTAGGTTCTGTAATTTAAGGTGTCCTATTTTCATAATTTTTTAACATATTCTGTGGCTTATTAAACTGAGTAAGAGATTCTTGTCAATCAACGTACTTAATTTATGGTCCTTTTGAAAATTTAGAGTCCTTTAATATGTTTTGCATTTGCTATTATATTATTAATATCCAGTTAGATACTCTTTTCCCAGGTATTTTAATTTGTATAAGCTAAAAATATTTTTTTGTATGTAACTTGGAAACAATTATTACAGAATTCAGCTAAGGAGAGCAAGAGGTGCAGTTGATTCTGTAAAGCTTTCGACTTAGTGAGAGATTCTAGAATTGGTGTTTTTGTTATGAGTTATTTGACAAAGACTATTTCTATATGGAAGGATAAAAATACTTAGGTTTGTTCTCACTCTTCCAGCTTACCTATTTACAAGTCAAATTCAATTAGTTGGAAACCTGAATCCCCACCATTCCTTGTATCTTTCCGATATCTCACTTGGTAAATATTCACCCATTTACTCTGACGGTGGTGAGAAATCTTGTTGCCAACGTGAAGGTACACGGTTCGAAGATACCAGCTGTTCCACAGGAAAAGGATGGGCAATCTCTTTCCGTGTAATTTACTGCCTCTGAAAACTCTCTGAAAGGTCAGATGGGGGTCAGCTCAGACTCGATAGTACACACCAACAACAACAATTCTGATAGTAACTGACCTCTGAGGTTATTCTTTCAGCCTGTTGTTGATTCCTGATCAACAGTGGTAGGACAAGCTACAGGTTAGATGGTACTCACCAGTCATCCATAAAAGAGCAGAGATTTTAAAAATTTTATCAAGATGTCAGTTTGATTTCTAGTAGCCAAGTAGTTCCAGGCTCCAAAGGGAAGGAAAGGTATTTTCTCTTTTATTTGCAATTGCTTTTTGAATATATATATATATAAGGCTAAGAACTAATGATTTATCACATGTTGCTCTAATGCCCCCCATTACCTGGGGATATTTCATGTATTACAACTTAAGCTGTTGGGGAAAGAGGGATAGGCAGAACTGGTGTCTCCCCTGTGAGACTCATGGGACTTTGTCTTCAATTTTGTGTCTGATCTTCAGCTCCAAACATAGGATGGGAATCCCTGGATGAATCCTCAGACTTCACATGGACTTTAAAATTGACTGTAAGCAAGTGTTTCCTTCTCCCTGAGGAGTCATTAAACTATGTGCTCTGAGCCAACTAATCCAAACCCAAAGTCTAGTTTCAGGTAAACAAAGTTAAGACCAAAGGGAAGTAATTTTTCTAATGAGCTTCCAAATGTACATACTTAAGATCAAAATAACGGAGCCGGTATCCAGTAGGACTAAATCATAATGAGAATATAAACTTAGGGTAGCAGTTGTGAGTAGCAATAACAACAAATTCACACCAGTAGTGAAAACTTTAGAGTTAGGTGGGCTGGAATTGAATCCAAAGTAATACACTCATTAGTCATATGGGTTGTTTTTTTTTTTTTGAAAATACGTTTTTCTTCTCATATGTGAAGTGGTAATGAATATGTTTTGTAGTGTGTGTCTATTTGACTGTGTGGATCATAACAAACTGTTGTTTACTCTGAGAAAAATGGGGATCCCGGAACATTTGATGGTGCTTATGTGAAACCTACACTTGGGCCAAGAGGCAGTCATCAGAACAGAGCAAGGAAACACTGCATCAAAACTGGGAAGGGTGTACTCCAAGGATGTGTCCTATCTCCATACCTTTTCAATCTATACGCAGAACAGATCATCTGAGATGCTGGACTCTTTGAGGAATGTGGCATAAGGACTGGAGGAAGACTCATCAACAATCTGTGTTACGCAGATGACACAACTCAGCTTGCAAACTGAGGAAGACCTGAAGCGCTTGCTGCAGAAATTCTAGGACTTCAGCCTTCAATATAGACTGATGCTCAACATCAAGAAAACGAAGACTCTCACCATTGGGGCACTTGGCAGCATTATGATAGATGGTGAAGAGATTGAGATTATTAATAGCTTTAGTTTGTTTGGCTCCACAATCAGCACTCTTGGTACCAGCAGTCAAGAAATCAAAAGATAAATTGCACTGGGAAAGTCTGCAGTCAGGGTCCTCTCCAGAGTACTGAAAAGCAATGTTGTCAGTGTGGAGACTAAGGTTGCGGCTGATGCATGGTCTTTGCAATTACTTCCTATGCATCAGAAACAATATGTAGGGATGATAAAAAGAGAATAGATGCCTTTGAGTTGTGGTGCTGGAGAAAAGTATTGAATATATCACAGACCGCGAGGAGAACAGGTTTGTCCTGGAGAGGGTGAAACCATGCTGCTCCTTGGAGGCAAGGGTTCTGAGGCCTTGTCTGATATACTTTGGGCATGTGGCAAGGAAGAACCAGTCCTTAGAGGGGGATATCATGCTTGGAAGGGTGGAGGGACAGCAGAGGAGAAGAAGACCCTCAATGAGACAAATTGATTCAGTGACTGGGGTAATGAGGGTAGGCGTGTCAGAGACAATAAGGTTGGCATGGGATAGAGCAGGTTTCAGGGCTGTTTTATAAAGGTTTGCTATGAGTCACAAGTGACTCAGCAACACATAACAACAACAACAATGCCAGTGAAGATTTCCTATTGCAAACTAAGAAATTTTCAACAGAATAGGAATTTTAAAGAATATTTGAAGATTAGGCTTATGGCTAAATCCTATGAAGAACAGACCAAGTCTAGAGCAGGTGCTGAATATTAGGCCAAGTAGTTTGTAATGTAAGTGCCATGGAGTGCCATGTAAGTGTAGTGGACATTGTGCACTAAGGAATCAAAGGAATCTCTGCTACAGATTTGGTGAATGTACTTATTTCTGTTGTACTCTGAATAAAGCAATAGTCCTTTGATTAGCATTTTGGCAAGGAGTAGTATACCCAGAGACCTCCACTTGAAATTGTCAATTTTAATAATAGCCTTATTCCATGGATCAATGAGCTATTATGAGGGAACCTGGCAGTTTCTGACTAAATATAGCCCAATGACAAACATGGGTGCTATTTGGCCCATTTAAGGTGAAATAAGAGAAAAGTTCTACCTATAACCTGGTTCCTAGTAGCTCCTCTTTTGACTCCACAGTTCAGAATTCCCCAGAGATTCTACTTTACTCATTGTCATTAGGTTGGAACCAACTTATAATACGTTTTTTAGAGACAATAAATTCCATGGGAAGAGATTGATCATATTTCTCCTGAGAAGCAGTTGGTGGATTCAAAGCATCTGCCTTTGGGTTGGCAGCACAACTCCCTACGTACTAGCCCACCAGAGCTTCCTCTCCAAAGATTGTTGTTGTGTACCATTGAGTCAGAATTGACTCACAGCTGACCCTCCAGTGGGTTTTCAGAGGCAGTAAATAGCATGGAAGGAGACTACCCATCTTTCTCCCTCAGAAGAGCTGGTGGATTGAACACCTTAGGGTTGGCAGTGCAACCCCCTACCATTAAGCCACTAGAGTTCTAAAGATTAGTGCAGCTCAAATGCAGCGTAGAATAATTCCTGAGTGATCCTGATATTTCTCCTTTCTCATCATAAAATAAACTCATTTTAACAAGGCTTTTCGCTTAAGGGTTCTCAACTTTTCTTTAACCTAAGGAACTCTGACTTTTTTAACTGATTCAGATAGAAGAATTGTTTGAGATGTTTTCAGTATATTTTTTATAGTTC